CTATCCATCGTATTTAAGAAGTCGTGGCAGTCCAGTGAAGTTCCCACTGACTGGAAAAGGGGAAACAACCCCCATTTTTTAAAAGGGGAAAAAGGAAGACACGGGGAACTGCAGGCCAGTCAGTCTCACCTCTGTGCCTGGGAAGATCATGGAACAGATCCTCCTGGAAGCTATGCTAAGGCACATGGAGGACAGGGAGGTGATTCGAGACAGCCAGCATGGCTTCACCAAGGGCAAGTCCTGCCTGACCAACCTAGTGGCCTTCTATGATGAGTGACTACATCAGTGACATGGGAAGGGCTACAGATGTCGTCTGTCTGGACCTCTGTAAGGCCTTTGGCACGGTCCCTCACCACATCCTTCTCTCTAAACTGGAGAGAGATGGATTTGATGGGTGGACTGTCCGGTGGGAGAGGAATTGGTTGGATGGTCGCATCCAGAGGGTAGCGGTCCACGGCTCAATGTCCAGATGGAGATCGGTGACGAGTGGAGTCCGGCAGGGGTCCGTACTGGAACCGGTACTGTTTAGTATCTTCATCAGTGACATAAACAGTGGGATTGAGTCTATGAGTTTAGCCAGTAGGGCTTGTAAATCCTTCTGCTAAACTAGCTGTGAGACGCAGTGTGTTGATTTGACTGTTTTGGGCAAAAGGAAGCTAGAATTATGTTTTCCTTACAGCCTAAACCAGGATGCTTTTTGCCATGAAGCACCAGCCTCTGTTAGTAGTACCACCGTTCAGGGTTTGGCTAGCTGACTATCTATAGCAAAGCCTTCAAAAAAATTGTGGGGGAAGTAGGTTAATTAAACTACTTGGTCTCCTCCATTTTAACAGCCTACGTGATTTCCACCCTGCAGCTGTGTGGTCTGAACGCAGCTGTTTCAATTAGAAAGGAGACTGATCCCATGTGAGGGAACTGAGACTCCTCTATGTACAGTCATTAGTTTCAGGATGGTTTGGGGGTGGAGTTTCCATAGGGTTTTCTCTAAGCTTATCTGCTGTAGTTGCTTTGATTTCAAGGCAACCTAACAACAAACAAGCACTCTCTTCACAGTACTTGAAATTGTGGTCTTGGAGTTGTGTTCTCCAACCGCCTGCAGAAAGAAGGAAAATGAATGCAAAGGCAAATATTTTGTGTTCTTAATTCCTTTCTTATTGCTCGTGGTATTGTCAGTACTGTGCAGTACTCTACCGGAAGAATTTTGCTCTGACACCAACAGATCACAAAATGAAAAGCTTATCCCAGTCTTGGGAAATATGTGTGTTAATGCAAAATCTGAAGTGGCAAAGGGAGAATTGAACTCTTGCCTACTAGGTGAAGCTAGTAAAGTCACTGTTGGGTTTTTTTTTTTCCCCTGCTGCTAGCATTTATCATTGGTTACAATTTCAGGCTGGTTTTCATTGTTTAGCTAGCTTCTCCACCTGTTTTAGTTGCTTCTCCACCTGTTTCCACTCCTCTCTAGCCTTCTGAAAGCTAACCTGGCAATTTTAACCTTCCCAAATATGATCAACAGGGGAGGAAGAGGAAGGAAGACTAAATGTGACCGGAAACTTCTGGATCTCTGGGGGACGAAGGGGCACAGATCAATACTTAGGAATTAAAATTGAAGCTTTACAGCCTTTAAAGTCATATGTGTTGGGATGCGTTATTCTGCCTCAGTACTGAAGTTACTTCTGACTTTTGCTGCCTTTAGGAATGAGGGCCAGCATTCAAACTGGTGCAGAGTTACCATATTTGGCAGATTCAGCTTGGTAGGCAAACTTGCCATCATTGCTAATTGTTACGAAATAGTAGCCGGAGAAATACACATTCTGCATGCTTGAAGAACAAACTGAGAAATGGGTGGTATTTTGTGACTTTTTTTCAATGTGTCCTGCGTTGTAGGAACTGATTTGAGTTATTCCTTTTGATTCATTTTTAATCCTTAAGATAAACTCAGTATTGTTTATATTTTCTGTGTTGCTTCTGCTGTTTTAATAAACTAACTCTACTTTTTATCGGTTTAACTGATAAATGTTTAACTTTTCTAGTCCAGCAAGCAAGCAACTTCTAGCCAGTGCTTCTGTAATGTAAAGCATTGCTGCTTGTCCCTCAGTGAAGAGTACTGGTGAGATTCCTCTCAGGGCTGTGTTTAAATAACCCAGTTCAGCTGTGGGTGAATGTCTTGGCGGCTTGTGTGCCTTTGCCAGGTGCTGTCGGATGAGGAGAAGAGGAAGCAGTATGATGCGTATGGTGAGGAGGGATTGAAGGATGGGCACCAGAGCTCCCATGGAGACATCTTCTCACAGTAAGGAGATTTTACCACTTCAGGCTATTCTACAGTTGGTGCTCTAATTTTGTGATGCTCATGCACGTGCTTCACAAGGGCAAATTCTATGTTAAGGTCTTTTACCCAGTCAAGAGGTACCGATCTGAAGTGATAGTTGAGAATCTGAAGAAATGCATTTACAGTGGATATCCCATATGCAGTTTTCAGTTGTCTGTCTTGCATTAGTCCTTGCTTCAAGAGCAGAGAGTAGGAACCAGTGGTGTCTTCCCACGTGGGCAGCTCTTGCTCACTTGGCAAGCTGCGTCACCAATGTGGGTGACTTGTAAGGTGCTGCAGCTGCATTAAACATGTAGGAACTTTCTTTTGTTATCTTGTATGTAATTGATGTTTAAGCTGTTGCCACAGATCACGTGTGCATTTTGGGGTCACTTTTTCTTTTGCAAAGTAATGCTGTAGTGACTTACACTACATTTCAGAGCAACTGTAGAATTTGGATCCTAAAAATCTGAAGGCACTTACATGTTGCTCAGGCAGAACCTGATTTTCTCTTTGTTTAAGGCCCCTTTGGTTCTCCTAGACACAAATATACTAAAACAATTCCTGAAGTTGCTCATCTCATGTAATCCTTTTGGGTGAGAACTCGCACCATCTGCTGGTCTGTTTTGAGGAAAAATATGCAGACTTGCTAGGAAGCTTTTTCTCATCCCCCTTGTCCTCAAACTAGTGAAAACCAACCTGCTAGCATTGACTTGCAGTGCCAGAGATGGAGCACTACTCAGTTTGCACCTTGTGGTGATGGTAGGTGAGCAGCAGTGCAGCATGAAGAGGACTTCCCTTAGGTAGTGGTCAGATTTTGAGGTGTTGGCATTCAACTCCTATTCCAAAAGTTCTTTTCTTTAGTACAGAAAACTCTTCCAAAGTGACTGCTTTGTTTGAAGGCATTAGCTTGTGTCCTGGAGGAGCAAAAAGAGCTATCTGGATTTACTATGGTGCTTTTGTACTGTGAGGAGGCTGCTCTCTAGGGGGCTAGCAGCATTTGCCAAGCAGCACGTTGCTGCTGCCTTGGGTGGCTCTCTTCATCAAAGCCTTGTTTGATCGGAATTCCTTCCTGAAATATTTGATGTGCTTTACTCCAGCTTCTTTGGGGACTTTGGATTCATGTTTGGAGGTAACCCTCGCCAACAAGACAGGAACATTCCCCGAGGAAGTGACATCATCGTGGACCTGGAGGTTACACTGGAGGAGGTGTATTCAGGAAACTTCGTAGAAGTAAGTTTGACTGCTTGCCTGTCGGTGTCTCCAGTGCGTTCTCAGGTTTGAGATGCCTGGCCTCTGCTCAGAATGATATCTTCTCCCAAAGAATAGGACTAAAATAGATGCTCGTTTTCTCAGTATCTGGCAGTGACAGTGGAGGATGTCGTGATGGTATTTGCTAGTAGTTAACTGAAGAAACAATACGTTTATTCATCGTTGCCATCTGGCAATTTTTCTATAAAGGGATGCTTCTTGTGATAATAGCTTATTTATTGGCTGTCAGTGACTAGCTGTAGCTTTTTTTTATTGCAGTAGCCCAGTTGGGAAAGGTGTAACTGGTCTCTCTCTAGAATTTAGTGATGTTTGAGGGCCCGTTCATAAACCTCAAATTCATTTTGCAATTCTTGCAAAACCACGTTGAGGATTTTTCATAGCCTCTTTATGTGGCCAAACATGTCACTGCAAATTTCTGGATTACATACTTGGCAAATGTATGGTGGCCTTTTAATTTTTTTTTTTTTTTTTTTTTTTAAGCAAGTTAACATTTCTGGTGCTTACAATCCTTGCTATTCTGCATGTTAGAATTTGCGTTGATTGAGTTTGTGTTGTGAGTGTCTGGGTAAATGGGGAACTCCAAATGATTTTGCCCACTGTGTGGGACAAGCTATCATAACCAAAGTGTGAGGTGTTTCATCCTAGTGTTACCTTTCCTATTTCGAAAGGTGTGCAGCAAAAAGAAAGGAAATACTAATAGTGGCGTCAGAGAGAGTTTTTCTGGTATTTAATGTGTGATCAGCAAGAGACACAAGGTGAAAACTGCTGTCAGAATGTTTTGCTGAGGCCGTTTGGAGCTACTGTGGAGGCAGCACAGAAAAACAAATTATGTTCAGGCTGTTTGAGAAACCCAGACCCTTGCAGAGACCCAGGAGTGCTGGCCTGTGTGCTGGTATCAACCTCTTCCTCTTCCGTGCAGGTTGTCAGGAACAAGCCAGTGGCAAGACAGGCACCTGGCAAACGGAAATGCAATTGCCGGCAGGAAATGAGGACCACCCAGTTGGGTCCTGGACGTTTCCAGATGACTCAGGAAGTTGTTTGTGATGAATGTCCAAATGTCAAGTGAGTTTTAGGCTCTTTACTGCTATATGGATGTTTATTCAAAACCTACCACTAGATGGAGGAAGGTGCCTGTAGTACTAGTAAGACCTGGGGAATTTGGAAAAACTTAACACAGGTTTCTCATTTCCAAGGAGCCAGTCTTTATTCTTGCAGTAGAGATGGCCAGCTCTATTAGATGTAGAGCTCCCCAATTTGCTCTTTCAGCTTCTCATTCCTTGAACAATCTGTCATACTACAGTGGAATTTCCACAACTAAATCTGAATAACAAAGTCAGGGAAGCCCACAGTTTCCAGCTGGGAACAGTTGGACATGGAATACTGTGTTGTAGTCACACATCCAGATGCTGACTGTGCATTTAGGAGCTTAACTTTGCCTTCTCTGCTAGATGGGTATCAGCACACCAGAAAGGCAGCGCTTGCCCTTCAGTTTTAGATGTGAGCAAGGAGAGAGTATGTGTTGCATCCAGATGCTGACTGTGCATTTAGGAGCTTAACTTTGCCTTCTCTGCTAGATGGGTATCAGCACACAAGAGCAAGGAGAGATATGTGTTGAGTTGTGGGGGTGTTCTCATTACCCCAGTAACATAAGTAGGTGCTACCACCTAGTGTTTAAAACTTAGTGCTTGCTTGCTCTTCCCTTTGCAGGCTCGTGAACGAGGAGCGAACACTAGAAGTGGAGATAGAGCCAGGCGTGAGGGATGGTATGGAGTATCCCTTCATTGGTGAAGGTATGTGTATGGGCACTGCCCTGCTGCTCAGCTTTGACTTGCTCCTTTTCCGTGATGCAAGGCTGGTCTTCATGGCAGTGAAAGTGCCCAAGCCCTGCTTTGGGTAACTGGTCAGCACGTGTGGTTTTAAGTGCTGTGTCCTCTGCTGAAATCCAGGAGCATGCTCTTTGCTAAGTCTGGATAACGCTCCGAGTTCCACTCCCTTTGCTGGTAGTGGGGGCACACACACCAAAAAAAAAACCTCGAAATCTGATGTTTCAGCTAACTTTTGAGTAGGAGCATCTGTTCCAGGCTTGAGTATGTGAGGGGTTCTCCTCTGCCCAAGGAGATTAAGTCCTTCAACAAGTAAAGGACATCATTAACATGCAGGCAAGTCTTTCAGAATAGCAGAGAAGTGTGAGCTTATTGAGGCAATACTCGGAAAGATCTAGGCTCTTTAATAACAGATATGTGTAAGCAGGGTTTTAGTCATGTAAAGATCAACTAGTTGTTTTTTTTCTTTAGCATGTGAGCTGCAAATTTCTGTTGTGTTTAATATGCTGTTTGTTTCTTCAGTTGTCACGAGCTCCTTTAAACAGAGCTTTTCTTTCTTTTTCACAGGTGAACCCCATGTGGATGGGGAGCCAGGTGATTTGCGCTTCCGAATAAAAGTTCTTAAGTAAGTAACTGGTCTAGTTAGACCACCCTTTCTGATTACTATAAAGGAAGCTTGCAAGCAAATTTCTGGCCATTGGCTAGCATGTAGCTTGCCCTTCAGCAGAGCTGGTGCAGCCAGGGGTCTGTCACTCAGGGCTGTGCAGGGTGTTCAACCCTGATGATGCTAGAGTAGCTGAATTCACCACTGTTGAGATGCTGCGATAATTCTGCTTTTATTTCGTTTGGCTTGAATTCTGGCATGCATTAGTAGCTCCTGTGTGAATCGCATGAAATACCTCCTTTTTCCAAAAACATACTATCTCCCTATTGTAAGGAAGTGCACTACTAAGAAAATTGTTGCGTGAGTCACAACTTCATGACACGCCTCACCACTCATTGCGCTAGAAATAGAAAGGTCATTTAGTAGTACAGACCTCGCACAGGAAAATGAAGCTAAATTTCATTCATTCTTCACTTCCTCTCCTTCTGGAGAATGCTCTGTGAGTTCTCCAAACTCACAAATAGAGGGGAGGAAGCTAGAGGACCTATTTCTCCTATGAGGAAGGAGAAAAATTCCAATGTCTTTTATTATTAATAGGCTGCCCAGGGAAGTGGTTGGGTCACCATCCTTGGAAGTATTTAAAAGACGTGTAGATGAGGCGCTTAGAGACATGGTTTATTGGGCATGGTGGTGTTGGGTTGACGGTTGGACTCGATCTTAGAGGTCTTTTCCAACCTTAATGATTCTATGATTCTATTTCCACAGGCACCCAGTCTTTGAAAGAAGAGGAGATGACTTGTATACAAACGTGACAATCTCGCTGGTCGAGGCACTTACAGGCTTTGAAATGGGTATTGCCCACTTGGATGGGCACAAGGTGAGGCAACAGCTTGCTTTCTTGCTGTATGTAAATGAAGTTTAACTGCATGTCTCCTGTGCTGAGGGTTAGCTTGCTCAGGGTCTGCGCAGCTGCTGGTTCTATACAGTATCCCCTCTGCCAGAGCCTTCCAGACCAATTCCCATGGAGCCAAAACAGGCTCTGTACAAGGGGTGCACAGTGTGGGTCTCGGTTCCAGGCTGTCACAGCGGTTACTGCATGTGCTCTCTTGGGTAGTGTTAGTTCTGGCACATGTCCTGGCAGTAATGCTGCCTGGACCCCTTGAATATCACTGACTTTGGCAAGGAATCAATATCAGTTGAAGCTTTCCAATGGGTTGGAAAGGGCATTGGAATATTGGGGTACACACACAGAACACCAGTAATGTTCTGAAATTTCTTTTGTCTCTAGGTTCACATTGCTCGGGATAAAATTACGAAACCTGGGGCCAAACTCTGGAAGAAAGGAGAAGGTCTTCCAAATTTTGATAACAATAATATCAAAGGCTCGCTAATAATAACATTTGATGTGGAGTTCCCCAAAGAGCAACTGACAAACGAACAGCGGGAAGGTGCGTGTTTTAAAGCTCTGTCATGGCAGCAGGCTGCACAGACCTCTCACCAAAGCTGATAAGAAGTTGGCACAACTGAACCAGTGACTTGTAGCGGTCGGGAGGGGCTCTCCTTTCCCTGTGCCCCTTGCAAAACATAACACAGTTGGCCAATGCCCTGTGATTAACTTCCGTTTCCCTTTGAAGCAAGTGAGCTTGGCTGCTGCAGTTGTAGGGAACCAGATTAGGCTGGGATGTGCCACTGCTGGGATGTAGCACTTGGCAAGTTTGCAGGTGCTTTGTTCTGTAGCTGGCCATCTGTCTGCACTGAAAGACTTACTGGGCTTACCCTCTGTCTGCTTTGCCTCTGCTGGAATGGGATCACAAGCGGTTTTCCGGACCCTGCTTCTACTTTCTTGGAGGAAAGACTTGTGAAAATCCCTCTACTGTCAAGGGTAAAGTGACATGCAGCATCAGGAGAAGAATTGTTCCTCTCTACATCTCCTTCTACCCTAAGTGCTTTGTGGCTATATAGGGAAAAAGGGTGCAATGCAGATGTTTCGTAGGAGACATCTGTTTCTTAGCTTCAGTGCTCAGATGGAAACTTGATGAACCATGTAGAAATCCTAAAATTGACAGGAGAGTAAATACTATACTCCTAGCTGGAAATTCCTCTTTGCTTCAGCAGCCTCTGAGGTAGGTTCTGCTGCTCTGTGCAAGGCATCAGAGTAGGCATCAAGGGCCCCATCCTCTGCTATGGGGCAAAGAAGTTCCTGGCGTGTACCAGTGCAGCTCTTCAGAAAGTTCCCATCCCCAGAACTTCTTCGTGCTGGTCAGGGCTATCATACTTTCTTCTTCTTCTGGAGGTGCCTTTTTAGTGGATTCTGGCAGCTGTCCTGGTAGAATGAGGCAAACGCACAGCTTTCCTGAACTCTTCAAGCTTGTGGAGGGAAGCCAAGCCCTGGGTGGGCTTTTCTCAGCACTTACTGCTGTGTTGACCATGCTCTCCTAGCTACCACTTGGAGCCCAGTTGGTAGCTACAGCTCCAGGGTTGACTGATGTTCTGTGGCTCTTTCTGCAGCTGAGATGTCTGTGCCTCTGGGCTGTGCTTTGAGTGAACCTGGTTTGTGTTTCGACCCCTCTGCTTTCCTTCTTGTTGCAAGTGTGTTGTGCCCAGTGAGGGCTGCAGAGCACAGTGACCACATCAGTGTGAAGTCTCATTCCAGGCTCTGCTCCCCTTCTTGAAGCTCATAAGGTGACAGCACCTCTTGAACAGATGTGAGGTTTTTCCAGCTGTTGCTCTTGGCAGTTTCTGAAAAGGCTGGGCAAAGAGCAGCGACAGAAGCCTTTGTGTTTGTCAAAATTGCTCGCGTGCCTTTACGGATACCCGGAGAACAGAGAGGTGATGGTACTGGCATGAGTGTGTTCAGGCACGGGACCTTTGAGTGTTTCGCTCCCTCCTAAAGCAATTCCACGCTTCCCAGGGGAAGGTGACTGGGTAGGCAGTCAGATGCATTTCTGTGTGCTAGAATATCTCCAAACATCCAGTGATTTAAGGAGTTTTACGAGGGAATAGGTCTATTCATGTTGTGTGGCAGCAGTTCAGTGTACACATTCAAAGGAAGACTGTAGGCTTCAGAATTCAAAACATCCCTTTTTTCTTATTGTTGGCGGTGGTCCTAATTTCTTATCTCATAACCATATGTACAGCTCCTGGGGTAGTCAGAAGATACTCTGACTCCGAGAGCACCGCTCTGGTCAGTGTAAGCTTCAGAGTCAGAGAAATAATATGCTTTCTTTCCTGCCAGTGTGACATCAGGGAATTTACTGCCTGTTGATCAGAGGTGACTTTCTCCTTGACATATCTCTCATTCATCTGTACTGACACTTGTTTATCGTCTGTTTTGGAGCTTTGGATTCCATGCTTTAACTCTGGAGTGCTCAGAGAGCAGCAGCAGGCAGCAAAGTGCCCAGGTTGTGTTGTAACCTGTCACCTGTTGGTGGTGTCAGAAAAATCTTGAAGCTGGCTCTAGTAAAAAATGCCTGAGGTGCAGTAGCATCAAATGTCAGGATTCCTGGCTAGAATTCCTGATCAAACATCAGATATGTGTTGAAATATCCTGTGTACTAATGAGAGTATCCTTCAGGCCAGCAGGCAGTTGCCTAGAGCTAGCTACCAGGAAATGAGGTACGGGAATGGTGCTAATCCCACTTTTTTCAGGGTTACTGGAGCACACCTTTCTCCAGCTATGTCCTTCCTTTCAAAGGCTTACACATCCAGGAGGCACATCCTCTTACCCATCGGCCAGGAAGCGGCTTTGAGCCTCTTGTTGGCTGTGGAGGGGAAGTGAACTTGCCTTGCACTCCCCTGGAGAATGACCTATCCTTCACGATTAGCAGCTCCTGTACAGGGGCTCGCTTTGCTCTGCTGTTGAGGATGTTTCTGAATGTAGAAGAGAGTTCAGGATTCTCTGGGCAGCAAGCAAGAGGCATGAATAGTTCTTGCCTGGCAGAGAGTCATCTCGGTTCCAGTTATTACTTCCAGGACAGTTTTCCAGTATTTGAGCTACTGTAACCCTTATGCATCAAATTGCTGGTCTTAAAGGACAGTAGTATTTGTAGCCAGAATGATCTAAGGGTAGACAAGCCGGACAAGGTTTGCAGGGAGACACAATCTCTTTTAGCTGGATTTCCTGAAGAAGGACTTGCATGCCTGAAAGCTTGGGGTTCTTTTCCATACAAATAAATTGGTTAATTTAATTACTGATCCTCCCTCTCCCTGCCTATGTACCTCACTTGAAGTTAACAACTACTGCGGTATTTTCTAGGCAGCCTAATCTGACCTGGTGTACAAACATGTAAAGCATCCAGCCCCCTTCACTGTGACTCTGGCTTCAGTGGAGCAGCAGAGCAAGCTGATCTGAGGCAGGACTGCAATTCTGTCTTCTGTTCTGTTGAGGTGCAAGCCTGCTGCTTGTGTGCTTTGTTGGAAGACTGATGCTGGTTTGGGGACATCCAACAGCAGAATTATAGCAGCTTAGCTTAATTTTTTTCATTATCATTTGAAAGTTACCCATGGTGTGGGGAGTTTTCCTCTCTGTTTTGGGTCCTGACAGCCCGTCCTCAGGCTCAGTGGTTTCTGGTGCTGGTCAGAGCAGGGATGCTGCTGTGCCCTGAGGGGCCCCATGGCCAGGGCAGTGGGAGTCCTGGCAGTGTGTAACCAGGCTGACTTTAAAGAGGGAGTCCCCTCCGATTATCTCTGGAAAAACAGTGTGACACATCTGTTCTTGCCAGTCTGCTTCCTCTGTTTTGGGCGGACTTGCCCTTCAAGTAGCAGTGAAGACCTGCCACTCTTTTCTGAACGTGCTGACCCTATTATGGCTTTAAGGGCTGACTCACTCTTCTCTTATCCTGCTCTAGTAAGAATTTGATACTGACAGGATCTCGGAGCAGTCAGTTCTTTGAAATGTTCTATAAATGGGCTTTCAGGGGTGGGGAAGAGATGGTATTTGAAAAGTCATCTAGACTGGTTTGTGAAACAGTGGGTTTCAAAAAAGCTTAAGATTTTCAAGCCTTCAGTAGGATACTTAAGCCCACAGATGATGAGTTTGCTTCTTTTACTTGCCTTAAGGGATTACTTCTTGTGGACAGTAGTGTACCCAGGCACCACATACCAGTGTGAAAACCTCTGCTTTCTAATTATTCATGTGGGTTTCTATAGCTGGCAAGTCCAGAAGGACTCAAACGTAGCCCTCCTGAGCTTGCTGCTAGCAGACTTCTCTTGGGCTGTAGAGGGAGCATGGGGAGATGAGCTTGATGAATTAGACTCTGGAAATACTCAGCAAGTTGTTTGTTGTTGTATTTGTGCTTAAGATGACAAAACTGTTGTCAACTTCCAACAGCAAAGCAGCTCTGGGAGTCAGCTTTATCCCTTACAGAGCTGTGAGGATCTTGAGGCGGTGCAGTCAGCTTTGAGTTTGTAGCAGAGGAGGCTTTCTCCCTGCAACCACTGGCCTTGTGTGGTCCCTAGAGTCCCTGAAAGCACTATTAACAGCATTACTACCCTCGGTCCCATTTCTCCTTGTAGGAATGCTGAAGGAGCAGGAGTAAAGCTGTCACACCACAGGGTTTGGGGGGATTTTTCCTTTTTTTTTTTTTTTAATGATGCTCTTAGAGCAGCAGTGTTTGCATTATTCAGGTACGTGGGCTCAGCCTTGAAAGGCTGGTGCCTCGGGGCATACGAGCCAGACGTGTAAATGTAGCCGGAACAGCAAATGCAGTGTCTTCCTCCTGTTTGTGCTGTGCAGTAACGCTTTCCTTTCTCTTGCAGGTCTCAAACAGTTGTTGAAACAAGGATCGGTGCAGAAGGTGTACAATGGATTGCAGGGCTATTGATGTGTGAAAAAATTGGACTTAACTGAAAATGAAAAGTCAGATTTGTTTGCAGTCTTTTCTCCTGCCCGCTGTAGAACGGAAAAGAGGGAGGGTGGGGCAATTGTTGAGGTATATATAATTTTGTCTTTGTAAATGGTGGAAGTACTCAGACAAGTTGGGGGAAATACTACTCTTTTCAGGACATAACTGGTGCTGCCTATCACGTTCCACGTCCTGGAACAACAAAGAGACTCCTTGAGCAGGAAAAAAGGTGGGGAAAGGAGTTTAAAATTCCATGCAGATTGGAATTTCTGGTTTTTAAATATATTTTGATGTGACTTTTCTTGACCATCTCAACATATTTTCATAGCTTCTCCTGCTTTTTATGTCTTTGTGTCAGTCTCTTCTGAGTTTCTGTTGTTTTGGGTTTTTTTTAATCCCAGCCCTTCCTCCCTTTCCCCTCTGAGTGGTATTGCTTCAGAGTCTGTTTCTGGGGCAGGAGTACAGGTGCTGTTGGGAGTGGACTGCCAGGAGAGACTTTACAGGCTATGTTAGGCCCCACGTATGGTTGGGGAAGCAGGGGAAAAGAGTCTCTTAAGGCTCCTGTGGACTCTCTTAGCTGCCAAGTAGTCCTCTTGTCCCAAAACTTAATGCTTGGTTTTAAATTTGAAGACGCACCAGCTTAGCAAAGACTCCTCAGACTTTCACGGTGGAATTTTGGAAAATAATGGGAATGGCTCCTCATGACCTTGGTCCTTCCTTGTTGCCCCCAAATGTAACAAACAGCTTGTCTGGAAAAGTTCACTTACCTCCTGCACTCTGTCCTCTGTGAGGACGGGTGAAGCTAACAGCACAGAAATAAAGATGTTTAAGTTGGAATGGCAAAAACTGCCTGGCTATGTATTTCAGCAGCCCTTTGCCCTGGGACAGCTGCAAGTTGTTGGACTAACGAGGAATGGTCCCTTCAGTGATCTAAGCTGTGGGCTGCTGTAAAGGGTGAAACTACAGCTGCTAATACCAGCAAAAGCTCTGTAGCTGCTTTATTTGAACCGAGGGCCTGGTAACCTGGCAGGGAGGTACCTGTGCTGCTCTGGTCTCTGTCGTGAAGACCCTGCTGCTTTAAGCATCCCCATCAGAGACTCATCTCCACATGTTCTTCAGGAGTGGTAGCTAAACAATTTTTCCAGAGGTGCCTGTGTCAGTCAGAGTTGAGCTTCACTGTGACAGGGGTGTAGGCAGCAAGAGGAATGAGTCAGTTGTTCATGTAGGACATGTGTTCTGCTCCTTCCTTCTGGGCTTTTAGGGACTATAAAGTGGGTTCCTCACAGCTGCTGCCTTATACCTCATCCCCTGCCTGGGAAGTGGATGGGATCTGGTTTTTCTACATGGAAATGTTTGCTGGGGAGCAGCAGCAGGAGACTCAAGGTAGTTTTGTTTTGGTTTTTGTTTGTTTTTCGTCATTGTGAACTTTAAGTAGCGCAGGTCTGAGCTCAGAGAGGTGGAGAGCAGCTCTGGCCCAGCCCTTGCGTGCTGCCCTTGGTCTAGCAATGTCCCACCCAACCCTTATGCTCCAGTGGGAGCTGACGCAGCGGAAGCAGCAGCACCGGGAAGGTTTCCTGTTGGATCCTTCGTACGTTTGCCTTGGCAGAGCAAAGCAGGGGCTTTGGGAACAGCTGGGGGGCGGGGGCAAGACAAACTTGAGATGCCAAACCCTTGGTCTCAATGCTCGTCTTCCTCAAAATCTGTAGCTGTTAATCCCAGCTGAAGCTGCTACCTCAAGTGTCTGCCCATTTGATGACCAGCTCTTTCCAGGCGTCTGTAGGCAGTTCTGCCCCTGCTTCCCCCCTTAGCTTAGATTTCTAAGAAACCTCAGATTTCAAAGAAACTCTCCTTCCGATACTCCTGTGCATGGGGCTGGTTCGGGGTCGGTCTGATGATTCTGCCTTCCTGTTCCACTGGCGCACAACCGTGCTGCCAGTGCTCGCCTGAGGCAATAAAACCAAAAAGCTGGGACTTCACACCAAAGTCTCGACTTCTCCACAGGAGAAGGTGGTGTAACCTTTCCTACCTGCACCCCTAGCAGCAGGCAGTGCATTTATTTCAGGCACGAGTACTTGTTCCTGCTGCTGCTTTTCCTTTCCCTGTTAATTGTTTTCCTTCCTGCGGTTTTTGTTTTGTTTTTTTTCATTGTGGGTCTGTACTCCTCTGAAAGGCCAGTGCTGCGTAGAACAGCAACAATAGCTGCAAAGCCCCAGCTTTTACAAGGGTGAGAAGAAAAACACAAAGCCTGAAATCATACCAAGCAACCCTGCTTCCTTCCATCTTCCTTCCCCCCCTGCTGCGAGGTGCGTGCAGAGCTGGGGTCCTCCGCCTTTCCCGCCTTCAGACAAAGCTTCCAGGGTTTCCCTGCCTTCTCCGCAGGCAGCAGCGTACGCTACTGCTTGCCAGGCTCTGGTTCAAACATTTCCCCTTGCCTGAGGGAAGTTGTGCTGCTTCTAGGATCGGGGGGAGGTATTTGTCCTCCGAGGGCCCCAGGGTGTCTGGCCAGGGGGATGTGGAAGCTGTTCAGTGTCTGTGACATCCTGTGTCCCTTATTTCAGTAACATTTAGCCGGAGTGAGTCACAACGCACGTGGACTCTTCTATCTTATATAAATGTTTCTTAGGAAGCTTAGATGTTCACATCGCCTCTTCTTGGTTTGGGACCAAGCAAGCATCCAAGGTACGAACCTCTGAGCTGGGAATCCTGTAATGCGTAGTCTTAATTTCCAGCCCCTTCTAAGCAATGCTGTTGTTCCCAAATTGGATCAAATAAAAAAAAAAAACCAACTAATTTCCTGGTCCCCTTTTACCCTAAATCCTTGCACAAGTCAAGGATTGTTGAGGGTTTAGATATAGGCATGTTGTTCAATTCTTCTAGCAAAACACTTGTCCTTGAAACACGTTTCTACAAATCCTTGCTGTTTAGAGAAGGGGGTGTTTAAACAAGCACGCGGTCCTTGCCTGGCTAAAATGGGATCCTGATTTATTTCTGAAGTGAATGGTTTTGATCCCCTTCAGAAGTTGTGTGTGTTCCTCTGGGGCCTCACCACAGGCTCGCTTAAGATATCATCGCCTCCGTCAGCGCTCTTGCCACCCTTTGGCTGGATCCTTCCCATCCCAGGAGAGGTGAAGGAGCAGATGGGGTGAGAACTCCGCAGCAGGTGAATGATGGGGGTGAAAACAGGGTTCAGATCTGCTCTTCCAGCAAGCATCATGCCCTGGCAGCCTTGTCCGCTTCTCCTGTCCCTCCGCAGTCTGGGCTTGCTGCATCTAAAGCCATGTTGCCCATCCCAGACCAGATGTTGCAGTTTTGGGGCTGCGCACAGGAGCTTCAGCATTAGGTACGTGGTCCTGGGGAGCAGGGGGTGGTTTGTTCCCAGTGGCTTCAGCCAGGCAGAGGGTCACTAGTCCCTTATTTCTCGCCCCAGCCAGTGGCACTGCTTGCACAGAGCATCCCCTCTCCCCGAGTCCAGGCGGGGAGTGAAAGTGTTCCCAAACAGCCTTTTCTTCTCTGTGGAAACTTCTCTGCAAGTACAGTGCAGGCAGGCTTAGTTTTTTTTCCCCCCGAAGAGCTTGTTATTTTAAAGTACTTATCTGTATCTAAACTTTTCTGCTTCCGAGAGACAGGCAGTGGAGGTAGGAGGGGAGAAGTGACTGGTGCCAGGAGAAGATTGCTCTCCTGAAGGCACATTTGCAGCGTTCCCCAATGCAGCTGCTCAAACGGGTGCCTGAAGACACTGGTGGTGTCTGAAGACCGGGAAGGTGAAGCTACACTTCCTCGCTGGAGTCTTTAATGTGAATATTCCGGGTAGCAGCCCCCGTGCCATCGGGCTGATGAGCAGCATTGCAGGAGCAGCGGTGCAGCATCTTGCAAGGTGTGGCTTGCTCAGACCGAAGCGGTCCCCGCGGAGGGGACAGCCCAGTTGAGGCAGGGTGGGAGGTGTGGTGGGACTGGTGGTATCCCGCTGCCCAGAAACCTCCCTTCATCCCCACTGCCACGTAGCCCCGCTCGGTGTTGACTGTGGCCGGCAGCCAGCTTTCTCCTCCTGTTTCCTCAGGCTTGGCCAGGCACGCTGACCTGGGAGGTGAGAGGAAAGGGAAGAGGGCAGTGATGGGTCCTGGGCACCCGTACGCCCAACGAGGAGGGACGCGACAGCACAGCCCTTTCCTCTGCCGTTAAGTATTTCCAGGGACCTGCCCGCTCTCCTGCAGGAGGCTGCTAGAAAGCAGATCCCCGACAACCTCCATCCCCAAAACTATGTTGTCCAAAAAAAAAAAAAAATCATCCCTTGCTGGGGGAGGGCTGGCTGGAGGCTGCACATGTTGCAAATCCCCTCACCCCAGTGCAGCCCCCGGGTTAAAAAGGATGTCCCAAAGCTGGTGATGCCAGAAATGAAAACAGCTGGGGCTGTGACAATGTGACCTCTGGGGAATTCAGAAGAACGGAGCTTGTTTAGCCCAGAAAAGCGATGATGACACCAGCACAGGCACGCAGTGTTTAGAAGGATAATCCCTTCCTCCTGTCCACAGAGTCTTGCATCTGGTGCTACCCATTTTCATGATAAGCGCTGATACTATCAGCCCAACTTTTTTTCCCCAGCTCCTGCCTTCCCTTCCCCACCCGAGCAGGCGCTGGAGCCCATCACTGTGTTTTTGGGCGGCTCCTGGTGCCACCCAGCCCTTTGCCCCTGGGGACGGGCAGGGCACCGCGGCCGCTGGCCGGGACACGGAGCCAAGGATGCTGTGCGAGCGGCTGGAGGCTTCCGAAGGACACGGCCGGGGATGCCGACCTCGGGGTGGGAGCTGATGTCCGAAAGGCAGTGGGGGGGACTGCGTGCCCCTGCTAGGCGGAAGGGGAACCTGCCCACCCCATCTGAAGCACCCGTGGGACGTGGGCGCAGGGGAAAGCCAGTTCCTAGCACATCGGCATCGTCTTACTCACTAGAACAATGTTCCAAGGTTGGGCGTCTTATCTCAACCCTTATCCAAACCAGTGTTAGCAGAGCTGAGTGATGGAAAGCGTGGAAAGCAAAGCCTCACGCGGCGATGGGTGCGGACGAGCGGGATGGTTTGCTTTGGGAGCTGGGTTAAAACCTCCAAAGGTCTGTGTGTGGGGTGGTTCACCCTTTTGTAGAAAGCAAAAGAAAAAAAAAAAACCCAAGGAGGGAATTAAAAACAACCCTCGGTTGACAGGATATGTGGTTAAGTGTTGGCACCTGTCCCAAGCTGCAATCGGGTGGAAGAATAGCCGAAGCGGGGAGAGGATGGGCCGTGGATATGGCTACCAGCTGCTGGAGAGATGGAGCGGTGGTGGGG